GATGGAGTTGTAATGAGAAATTGGTGGGGGAGTATTCAGCAAGTGTTTTTTTGGAAGATAAAATTCTGATTTTAAATTTTCTTTCTCTGGGGTATATGGGCCTTGTGATAGAAAGAGGAGGAAAGAACTATGGAAAGAACTTGGGGCAGTTGCAGGTTTAGAAGATTGGCCTTGGGTAGTTGGAGGCGATTTTAATATCACAAGGTTTGAGGATGAAAGAACTGGAAGGGCAAAAAATACTAGGGCTATGAGAGATTTCTCAAGGTTCATTGATGATATGGAGCTAATTGATCTTCCTTTACATGGTGGGCAGTACACATGGTTCAGAGGCAATAATAAACATTCAGCCTCAAGAATAGATAGATTTTAATTTCAAGTCAATAGGATAATTCCTTCAAAGCTATTAAACAAACCGTGCTACCTAGGGTGGAATCAGACCATTGTCCAATACTATTGGAGTGTGGGGAATGGGAGAGAAGTAAAGGGTATTTCAAGTTCGAAAATATGTGGTTTGAACATGTTAATTTTATAAGCACGGTGTAGAAATGGTGGAATTCGTATGATTTTCAAGGAAGACCAGATGTGGTTCTAGCAAAAAAGCTTAGAAAGTTAAAAGAAGATTTAAAGAAGTGGAACAAAGAAACTTTTGGGCACCTGGGAACAAGAAAAGACCAGATCTTGCATCAATTGGAGATGGAGCAACAAAATGATAATCATGATAGTAACACAGAGGTAGAAGAACCTGCTAAAAATGCATGAATAAATGAGTTGCATCACATAGCTAAGGTAGAAGAGATACAGTGGAGGCAAAAATCCAGATTTTTATGGATTAAGCAAGGGGATAAGAACACCAATTTTTTTCACAAAATAGCAAATTCAAATAGGAGATATAATTGGATTGATAAGCTAGAAATAGATGGGGACTTCACAGATGACAAAAATTTGATTAGAAACCACATACTTGAGTTCTATAAAGATCTTTTTTCAGAAAAAGAGAGCCGGAGACCTTCATGGAATTGTTCGGAACTTGCTAGCATCAGTGACCAAGAGAAAGAGTGGTTGGAGAGACCTTTTGATGAAATAGAGTTAACAAGAGTAGTTAAAATGGTAGAAGGGGATAAGGCTCCTGGTCCAGATGGCTTTAATATGTGTTTCTTCAAAAGATGCTGGCATATTGTGAAAGAAGATGTTCTGAAGACATTTGAGGTGTTTCACAGAGAAGGAGAATTTGTCAGAAATTTTAACTCAACCTTCATTGCTTTGATGCCAAAGAAGAAAGGGGCTGCCAACATCAAGGAATTCAGACCTATTAGTTTGCTTGGGAGTATATACAAGTTGATAGCTAAAGTCCTTACTGAGAGAGTGAAGTTGGTGATTAACAAGTTGGTCTCTGAGAATCAGAATGCCTTTTTGAAAGGTAGACAAATTGCAGATGCATCACTGTTGGCAAATGAATGTATAGACTACTACTGGAAAAGAAAATTGCCTGGTGTGGTGTTCAAATTGGACTTAGAAAAAGCCTATGATCATGTCAATTGGCCTTGTCTGCTGAAGTTGCTGGAAAAGATGAATTTTGGGGGTAAGTGGATTCAATGGATAAAATTTTGTGTCTCCACTACAAAGTTCTCAATACTAATCAATGGTAGTCCAGTAGGTTATTTTAGTTCTCGAAGAGGTTTAAGGCAAGGAGACCCTCTGTCTTCCTACTTGTTTCTTCTAGTAATGGAGGTGTTGAGTCAGATGATTAAAACTGCTGTGAGAAGTGGATGGATAAAAGGCTTTAAAATGAAGGGTCATTCAAGAAATAGTATAGAAATTTCTCATAGTCTTTATGCTGATGATACCTTGTTGATGTGTGAGGCTGATAGAAATCAAGTGTTGCACTTGAGGGTGGTTCTGCTGGCATTTGAAGCTGTGACGGGATTAAAAATAAACCTGGCCAAGAGTTCAATGTTTTCTTTGAATGTTGACAGTGATATTAATACGTTAACTGATATCATGGGTTGCAAGGTTGAAAAGTTTCCTACTACCTATTTGGGATTGCCTTTTGGTGCAAATTCAAGGACAAATCAGTGTGGAATGGTGTAATTGACAAGTGTGAAAAAAAGTTGGCTCCTTGGAAGCAGCAATACTTATCACTTGGGGGCAGATTGACAATAGTAAACAGTGTTCTTAATGGAATACCAACCTATCTAATGTCTCTAATTCCTATACCAGCTAGTGGGGAGAAGAAAATTGATAAAATTAGGAAGAAATTTTTGTGGGAAGGTGATACAGAAAGGAGAAAATATCATTTAGTAAAGTGGAGCATTGTGACAAAACATAAGAAAGAAGGGGGTCTGGGAGTTAGAAATCTTAGAGCTCACAATCAAAGCTTGCTATGCAAATGGCTATGGAGGTTAAACGATGGGATAAAAGCTCCCTGGAAAGCAGTGGTGGAGGTGATATATGGAAAAGAGGGTTTCTTTGCACCTAAAAAAGTAAAAACTCCGTATGGGGTAGCTGTTTGGAGACAGATTTGTAACCTATGGGAGAAATTTAACATGTATGTTGGCTTGAGGGTGGGCAACGGGAAAAAAATCAGACTTTGGGAAGATAATTGGGATGGTTCTGGTCTGCTGAAAATTCAATTTCCCAACCTGTACAGATTGGCCAATAATCCAAAAATCCTCTTAGTTGATATATTTACTGATACAGGTTGGGACTTCCAGTTTAGAAGGAATCTCTTCGACAGAGAAATGCATGAGGTTGATATATTTATTGAGAAGATACAATCAGTGGTGTTATCGCCAGAAAAAGAAGACAGCCTACTCTGGAAAGCTAATAAAAAAGGTTTTTTTACTGTTAGTTCACTCTACAAAATACTAAATGCTACCCAGCCGGTGCAAGCACAAAAGTGGCCTTGGAAGATGGTTTGGAAGACTACAGTCCCAACAAAAGTAGCATGTTTTGGTTGGCTAGTAGCACATGAAGCATGTCTGACTCAAGAAAATTTGATGAGAAGGGGTTGGATAATGTGCAGCAGGTGTTACTTGTGTGAGAAAGCTTGTGAATCCGTGGACCATCTTTTTTTGCATTGTGAATTTACTTGGCAGGTGTGGTCCATGTTCACGGCTAACTTTGGCATCCTTTGGGCAAGTCCTAAGAAATTCAGGAATATATTAGAGTGTTGGGAACCTGCATGTCCAGAAGCATCCTTAAAGAAGTTTTGGAGAGATATTCCTCTTAGCATAGCTTGGACGATATGGAAAGAAAGAAATAATAGGTGTTTTGAAGGCAAGAAGGAGCAGCTGCAATATGTAAAATACAGTTGTTTACATTATTTGTACTATTGGAAAGATGGAAATGTTATGAATTTTCATGATATGCTGGACATGCTAGAACGCTTAGGATTTTAATGTTTTTAAGCCAGCAGTATCCTTGTATTTTTACGGTATCAGCTTGATACTGTTTTTAATAAAATCTTCACCTTATCAAAAAAAAGTATCTCCTTATATACGTGTCGCTAGAAGTTTCCACAAACCCTACGTGTGAATTTGATTTCATTACAGCTGTCTGACAACTTGCTTTTTTCAATTCAAAGAGTATACCTTATGTTTCTACCGTCTTCTTCTTGCTCTCAAGATCTGTTGTTTTTGTTCTTTCTGCAATTAATTTTGCACATATGTTCTTTTTCCTTAATTCTTTTCCTTTTGAGTTCTCTCCATCCATTTTAGTTTTGCTATTCAATGGTTGTAGAATCCATTCATTTTCAACCTCAAATTTCATCTTTTGTATCTCCCTTTATCTCTCTTTTTTCCCTTTTACCAGAAGCTTAATAGTTTCCATTGTTGATCTTCTCTTTTTTAGAGCCTAAATGCTTCTCTATCTCAGCCCGATACTAGCACCGATCTGGCTGATAAGCCTACTTAAGAAGAAGAAAATTTTGGGTATAGCCTTACATTGCTTAATAAAGTTTGGAGTTCTTTATCTTCTTCGGTTCTCTTCCAGTGTTCCTTTTCTTCAATTTCATCTCCTCTGTTCTGCTCTTTCATGGCTTTGTCACGGTAAACTACTGCTGATTTTGTTTATCTGTGTCTGAATAACAGGAACGAGATTCGAGTTTTTGCACCATCTACATAAAGGCTTCAATTATTGGGTTTTAGCTCAGGTAATCTTCTTCAGTTTGATTCCCGTTATTCTTTTTCTGCAGTAACTCTACCCTTGTCATCAATTTCTCATTCCTGGTCTTCGTTCCTTTCATAGGATTATGAAAGGAGGATTACTGTTTGCTGTAGTGTGTAAGCATTCACTGTCTTTATTTCATCAGATACAAAACTTCAACGTTGTGATAAAATTTTTCTCTTTTGTACTTAGATTTTACTCTCTCTTCTTGCTGCTATAAGTTTTAACTCTGCCTCTAAGTCTTTTGTTCTTGGGGTCAAGGTCCTATAAAATTCATAGGTTTAGGAAGAAACCCTATCAAATAGTGATTTTATCTTTGGACCATATTTTGATTGATAATACGATATTTAAGGACCGCTAAAATCAAAGGCTTGCATTAATACAAATTCTACCCTTGAAGTAGTTTAATTCATGTTAGAAATCATTAAGTGGATAGTATAGTCAATTGGGCTCTAAGTATTCTATACAGTTCCAGCTTCTTGAGAGTTCGATTATGTGATGTGTTTAATGATTATTTTCCGCTACTGATTTAGAAAGAGTGATTTAATTAATTGTGAGTATGATTATGTTCATTGCCTTGGAGAAATCAGTTCGCATATTCCTCATATGAATGTGCTAAATGCATTAAATTCAAGTTTATAATGAAGATGTGGTTGCCCTCTTGAATGATACAAGATTGGCTCAAGGAACATGAAAAAAACCGTTCTGTACAAAGCATTGAATTTCTTTCTCTCTCTAGCTGCGATGAACAGTAGCGACGCAACAGTTCACCGGCCATAAATCCATATTCCGGCAGTGGAAATTCACCAAATTGGTCTCAAAAGAACCCCCTTCTCTTTGCGAACAATCCCCAGTTGGTTTCATCCTCAAATCAATAGCCAGTTTTTCCATATCTTAATTTTCATTTCGCGATTACTGTAGCGCGCAGAAATTTTATTAAATTCATCTGCTTCTTCACGCCAATGGAGCCTTGAAAATCTTCATGAATTAATGTGAAGTTTACTGTAGATCGCAGGATTTGTGTTTTGAGCAGCCATGGCTGCCATCGTCTCTCCCCAGCTTCCAGCTGTGGGAGAGCCCAATCCAAATCGTAGTGAGCATATCCCCAACAACAAGATTCAACAAACTTACGCCTCTCAATTACTTACAAATAATTCTGCTTCAATCTCCACAAAACTGGTCTTAAAACCTGTCCAAATTGTTCATGGGGAACCTACAATTCAATTCACAATGGAGGAAAGACAAACTTTTGCTGTTGAAGAAGGATTGCATCAAGCAGTTGTGCTGAAGTTATCTCCAAGAGCGCCAGATTTGCAGGTTCTAAGAAGCTTACTGCCAAAAATACTAAGCATAAAAGGCCATTGCTTGATTGGTCATCTTGCCCCACGTCAACTACTGTTAAGATTGGATCAACCAGAGGATTTTGTCAACGCACTAGCCCGAGCAGTAAATTCTTTTTCGCACAGTGGCGAACAACATCAGTATAGGGTCTTCCCTTGGACAGTTGGATACAATCCTAAGGAAGAAACATCAAAGGCTGCAGTTTGGATTTCATTACCAAACTTGTCTCCAGAATTATTTGCTCGACAATCACTGTTGTCAATAGCTAATGCAGTGGGTAAACCAATCGCTATCGACAAAGCAACACAGGTGAAATCTCGACCTAGCACTGCTAGAGTTAAGGTTATTCTCGATCTCTTAGACAAACTGCCAACGCGTATACGTTTGCAGTATGTTGATAATGCATCTGGAAAGATTGTCGAGGTGTTTCAAGAAGTAATATATGATAACCTCCCGGGTTATTGTATCTATTGTAAACGACAAGGCCACATAGAGGAAATGTGTCGACTGCTTTTAAAGAATAAGATCGACGACGCCGAAAATTTGGTCGATGACATGTCCAGTGTTGATAAATTAAAAAGAGATGCCAGGGACTTCCTTAATGCCAAAAGATCTGGCCAGTCGGTGGACGATGTTGCAAAAGAAGTTGGCAACTGTAATGTGACTGAAACAGCTAATGGAGAATTAAATAAGGCTAATGCTGGCCAACAGAAATCTGCTGAAGGAATTTCTGATGATAATCGAACAGGATCAAAGGTTGTTAATGGTCAAGCTAACGAAATGGAAACTGTGACAGGGGCATTGCAAGATGCTACTGATCATGAAAAGCAGATNAAAAATAGTTGGGACGACAAGGTTAGTGATTTTTTAAATGTTAGGCGACTCCCAATGAGAGTTGTCAAACAAAAGAAGGCCGCCCCAACTACATCTACAAAGTTCAATCGTTCAAAAACGAAATCATGAATTTTGAATACATCTTGAAGAATTGGGATTGTGATGAAAACNTGAGCAGGGGACTCTGGCTCAGGGAACTGCTGTTGCACCTGTTAAACCAGTGGACAAAGCAGCAATAGAATGTGTTGAAGGTTTTGGTCAATTCAGGACCGCTTCTAAGTCCCCTTCAGTTACTGGACAGGTTAATACACAGCAGAAACAGTCTAATGTTCCGCAAGTATCAGGCCCAAAGGATGCTGTTGATCGAGGTGAGGTATCTGCATAATTTGGCAAGGACAAGGTTGGTACTGGTGCTTTGCAAGCTGCAGCTAATGCTCGAGCAACCAATGCCAAGAACCATGCAACTAATGGTTCTTTGGTCACATTAAATACCTCTGTATTTGATGTTCCATCACAATCAGTTGAAACCTACGACGACTTTGAAGGTGAAGCTGGGCAGATTTTTCTGTCAACTGGAAACAATGATGAATTTATCCAAGCAAAAGTGATCAAATCTAAATTTTGGTTACAACAACGTGAAGAGGATGACGAATACGAGGGTTGGGGTGATGGTCATGCAGGGTTTTCATCTGAAGAGGCTGATCAGGAGGTCGATCAAGAGAGTGCAGGTGAAGATCTTGACTGTCTAGCAATGGCAAAATATGATGAGGGACCAGCAGCAAGTCATAGGAGCAAATTGAACATCAACGCTCCAATATTTTTGCCCAGAAATTCTCCAAATGGAAGCTTGAAGCGAACTGCAACAACACATACAAAGCAGTTAGTCCCAGCTGAAACTGATCAAATAGCTGCTACAATAAAATCTGGGCAGCAGCATATTGTAACAGATAATCCAATCTTCGATGCAATGGAGCAGCAGCTTAATCAAAATGATCCAGTTATTAAACCTACTGCTGATCGCACATCAACAGTAACAACAATTTCTGGGCAACAACAAATTGTGACAACCACTCCTACTATTACACCAGCGGAAAGAAAGCTATTGGATGCAATGGTAAGCTCAAAGCCTGCTAGCTCATTAAATCTTACTGCTTTAAGCACTGGTCGAGTGAATTATAGCAGGAACAAAATGCAAAGCATATTACAACACAAAAACAAGGCAGCGTTGGTTAATAAACAGGATGGAAACAGTGTGGTAATTCAAGAACATGTTCAAGACTTGCAAAATCAGGTGCTTGTGGGCAGAGATACATATGAAGAAGGTGAAGAAGATGATATTCTAAATCAATGCAGGGCAGAGGCAGCAAGAAAAGGTGATTTGTCACCTATGCATAGCGGAAAAAATAGGAAATCTCATACAAGGAAAAATAGTTGGGACGACAAGGTTAGTGATTTTTTAAATGTTAGGCGACTCCCAATGAGAGTTGTCAAACAAAAGAAGGCCGCCCCAACTACATCTACAAAGTTCAATCGTTCAAAAACGAAATCATGAATTTTGAATACATCTTGAAGAATTGGGATTGTGATGAAAACGAGTTACAAATTGAAGAAATTACAAGTTCGGACAAGAAGGGACAACATTTTAATTCCTTCATCATTTTATTCTACCATTATATTAGTATTCTCATTTGTAATATCTTCA